GTGCCCCTTTCCGGCTCCTCTGGAGAAGCCGTACCGAACGGTTTAGTAGGAGGAATTATTTGGGGCTGTTTTTCAATAGAAAAAGGACGTAGCTCCTCCAAAACTGACTCTGACTCCTTCGAATGAGCCTTTAGGAAGGAGCCCCTAAGCTAGCACACCGTGAATCAAGTTGTCGCTAGCCTCTGTGGCATGTGCGTCTCTCGTGCTCTTGGCAGGGGCGGATGTACTGTAGGTGGAATAGCTATACCCCCAAAATTTTTGAAAAAATATTAAGTATATAATATCTAGAACATTTTATATGAAATAAAAACAAGGAATTACTAGCGCCCAAACATCCAAAGCAGATGAGCGCGTCCGGATGCCCCGTGCATGCTGCTGCCCTAGCCCACCCACCTATGCCTACCACTGCGTCGTATCCCTGCTGAACGCGCATGTCCATCCCCTGTCTGCCTCACCCCGCCACGCAAGCGTACCCTGTTCCCATCTGCCTTGCCCCGCCCTGCACGCGCGCACCCCGGCTGCACCTACCACTTGTTGCCACCACGCCCACATAACATATGTGTGAAACAAGTGCAACATCTAGATAAAAAAACGCTTGCAACATACGTCTGAAATAGACGAAACATTTTGAAGAAACGCTTGCAACATGTCTCTGAAACACATGCAACATATGCAACATCCTTATCTACTTTTGAAATATCCATATAAAACACTTGCAACATACCTCTAATAACATCTGAAACACTTGAAACATATATTTGCAACATAGGAGAGGGAGAGGCTAGGGCTAGTTCATTCTAGCCTCGAAGTGTGAGCCGGCGCCAAGCGGCAGCGCACGAGCACCACCAGCACGGGCCGCACTTCATGGGTTCCCTTGGCTCAGTGGAGACTGACATGAGGCGCGCAACGGCACCATCAGCGCCAGCAGAGGTGGGCGGCGCTACCCCTACCCGATCTCGTCCGCATCACTGGATGCCATCGCTGAGGGACGATGGAGACCAAGCTCTGTGGAGAGGAAGAGAGGCGGAGGCCGATTAGTCGTCGCTCCTGGCCCGAGGTGCCGTTGAAGAGTGACGGAAGCTGGCGGGTGGGCACGGCGAACTGAAGCCGTGCGATGGTCGGTGAACTGTGGTGGAGAGGGAGGAAGGCGGCCAGCGGCGCTCAGGTGAGGTGGAGATGGAGGATGGCGGCCGGCCAGCCGCGGTCGAGTGCCGCAGGAGCACGGTTACGGTGGAGTGCGGAATTAGAATTTGGCGACGAGTGGAGATTGGGAACGATGCTACTGGAGACCCGTGAGTGAAGAAGACAGCCAAACGTTTTTTTATCAAACAGACGACCAGAGGAGGCATACGAGATAGTTGGGCCGTTCCTACCATCGCGGCCACGGCAACGGGGGCGTCAGGTCGGACACCCCTGACACCAACATTTCTGATAAAAATATCTTAACCTCAAATACTCGTCTAAGAGGGAAAACAACCCGTAGCATACTAACACTCTTTCTTCTAAATCCGCAAAGCCTAAAATGAACGAATGCACACGTAGCACAAGTACAAGATTAAAATTATAGAACGAATTATGAAGGATAAATATGTAAAGTTGACTCTTTTTTCCTTCCAAACATTCGATATTGTTCTTCTCGTGAAGTTTTAATCTTGACCTTGTTTAATATAAGTAAATTTTGAAAAGAATCATTTCTACTTTACTCAATAAATAAATAATTTTTTTTTAGAATGGTCATGGCATTAAGAGGAAAAATGATTTAGCTTTTTTGGACTACTCAATAAAGCACAAAAGATTTATTTTTCCACACGGGATCACCAAGAAACTAATATGTTTATCAAGATCTTGGGAATGACTATCTTTGTATGAATGTTGACGAATTGTATCCTTAAATTCGTATACCTAACTATTTTATCGTCGTTCTCTCGTCATATTATATCATTAGTGAATTACGTCACTTAGGTCCATACCTTCATCTCCATGTTTAAAATCCTGGATCCGCCACTCGCTCTTGGATTGAAACGTTACACACGTTGGATTATTACAATCGAGAAGGCCAAACGCGATGTGAGCGACAACCATTTCCCCATGAATAGGTAACTACTATTTTTTTCCTCGCACACTTAGCTGGGCAGAAGGCTTACCCCCGATACTCCCCTGCTCTAATCATCATTATTAACAGTAGTTAATGTATGATATACTATAATTTATACTCCCTCCATATTGGTAATTTAAGTCGTTTGGACAGCGATACTGTCTCCAAAGCATAACTTTAACTTCTTATTTTTATAAAAATGTTTATTGAAAAGTGATATATGCATATTTTTATGAAAGTATTTTTCAAGACAAATCTATTCATATGATTTTCATATTTCCAAACTCAATAAATTAAAAGTTATTCATGATTTATATTCCTAAGGTTTGACCCAAGTCTTGTCTAAAACGACTTTACGGAGGGAGTACAAAAATTGCCAACCTTCTACCATTATGAAAAATAATGAAAGTAACCCCTTAATTCACATCTAAATTATCCATGTTTGACATTATAAAACATAATTTAAAATACCCCTAAATTTTCTATTTAAATTACCCGCATCTATCATTACGAAAGATAATAAAAAATAACCCTCTAGATTTGTACCTATATTATCCACCTGTATTATTATGAAATATAATGTAAATGAATGCTTAAATTTGAATCTAAATTACCCACATATTTCATTATAAAGATAATGATAACACTATTAATTTGTATATAAATTATCCATCTAATTCCTTGAATTTTGAAGTGGTCCACTCCAGTCCAAAGTAAAAAGAGAGAATTCCTTATTTGACACTGGAAAAATGAGTCGTTCCTTTCTTGGCCCTGAAATTTTCTTCGTTACCTATTTGACACTCACTCCAACTTTCATCCCTAATTTGACACTACCGTCAAATCCGTTAGCTAACGGTGTTGCTGTTAAAAAGATGTTTTTGCCCTTAGAAAAAAGGGGCGAAGCAAATTTGAGAGGAAAAAAAACCTGCGCCCGCCTCTGATGCATGCGCCCAGCTGCAAAAAAGGGCACAGGGTTTTTTCCTCTCAAATTTGATTCGCCGTTTTTTTTCTAGGGGCAAAAATGTCTTTTTAACAGCCAGTTAACACCGTTAGCTAACATATTTAACACCGTTTTTTTTCACGACTGTCATGAGGATCGAACAGGGCAAGAAGCATGGGCGGTACTGGCTTGGCGATGGCACCCTCGAGTCCGGCTCTGTTCCCTCCCTCTCCCAGATCTGAGCAAGTACCCCGAGCGGAGGCCCGGCCATACGCCAACGGCCATCCCCTTCACAGCAGCGGGTCGACGCACTCCAGGTTAGTCCAGTTTAACTCTTCGTACATTGATCTTTACATAACTTAGTTACCTTTACATTACTAAAACATTCGATTGAAATGTTGCAACCTGAGAACGAGAGGATGGCTCAGGAGCTGCGGGACCTGGCGGCGAGGACCGAGGTGGCCAAGCAGGAAAGACAAGCCGAGCGGGCCGAGCGGGAGAGACAGGCCAAGCAGCTGGCGGAGATTACGATGTTCCTGCAGAACTTTGGGCAAGTGAACGGTGTACCTGTGCCGATGTTCGCTCCAGCGCCGCCGCCAGTTGTAGCTAGTCCAGTGAGTATGAATCCATATTTGCTTCGACTAGTGCTTTCATTAGATGACACACTCTAAGCGCCTGAATCTCTTGTCCTTTATGCAGCCTCCGTCGGCGGGTTCAAATAACCCATCTTCGGCGCAAGCAGGCGGTGCCGAGTTTCCTTCACCAGGCACTCAGTTTCCTCCCCACCTTTAGTTTGTATCTCTTTTTCACCGCTTGATGGACATGTGATGCACTGTGATCCACTATCGACTTGTTTCGATGGTAATTAGACCTATTATGTTTGTGATGTCGTGTATGTGAGGTATTGTATTCGCGATGTGATATATATGTGTGGGATTGAGTTTGTGATGAGATGGATGTGATATATATGTGCTATATTGTCTTTGTGATGCTTCAGATGTGATATATATCTTTTATATGCTGTGTTTATGATTATAGAATAAAAAAACAAAATAAAAAAATTAATTTTTGAGGCTTTGCCGGGTGCCCTGGCCCTGTCACTCGGCAAAGCTGGGAATTCCCCAGCTTTGCCGAGTGCCAGGGCCAGGGCACCCGGCAAAGTTTTTTCAAAAAAAAAATTATTTGCCGGGTGCCCCATGACCTGGCACCCGGCAAAGAAATTACGAAAAAAATAAAAAACTCTTTGTCGGGTGCCCCCGCGGTGCGACACCCGGCAAAGAAATTATAAAAAAAAATAAAAAAATCTTTGCCGGGTGCCTCCCCGGCACGGCACCCGGCAAAGAAAATTTGAAAAAAAAATATAAAAAAATATTTGCCGGGTGCCTCTGACATGGCACCCGGCAAAGCAAGGGATGACGGAGCCGGCGCCGTAACGACCACTTTTCTTTGCCGGGCGCCGAGTTTGGACTCGGCAAAGTCTTTGCCGGGTGCCCGATAAAAAGCACACGGCAAAGAAATCTTTGCCGACTAATTTTTTGCCGGAGGCTCTTTGCCGAGTGCTGCACCCGGCAAACGCTTTGCCGAGTGCAAAGTAGCCTTTGCCGGGTGCATTCGGCACCCGGCAAAGCGCCTGAATCCAGTAGTGATAGATGAGAATCACATAAAATTTTAAGGGCACCGGGTGTGTATTGCAAAAAATGAACGTACTGGGTCAGGGGAGTAGTTGAAATGTTTTTATTATATATACATCGAGCGTTCATTTATTACTTTTTAGATAACAGAACAATTAACGAGTTTTTGTCACACCATTATGTACATAGTGAACACCATGAGACTGAAAAGTTACAACAATAAAATACAGAATACGTACATATGTTTCAATCTTAAATTGTGCGCACACACTGTTACATTGCCAGGCTTGACATACTTAAAAGTACCTACCGGTAGCAGCTAGTGAGCACCAATTCATTCAACTCCGATCCTTCGGGCAGTTCGTTCACTCCTCGTAGTCCGTTGGATTTTCTTGGAGAGTATTTTATCCTCATGAAGGAGCTTCTCAACGACGTCGTTCTTACCCAGTATCACAATATTCAGATCATTAGAGTGGATCAAAATATCCAAATCTGCAAGCTTGGGCAGTGCTGATTCATGTATTTCCAATTTCTTCAATTCTTCTAAGTCAACCGTCAACCTCCTCAAACTATGAAATCCACCAGCAGAGAATACAAGCTGCTCATCCTTGTATGATCCACCATCCAGAGTGAGACTAGCAAGGAAGGGCAACTCAGCCAACTTGTTGATGAAGTCCTGTGAGACCATTGTGTTCTCTAATGACAAAAGAAGTAGATTGGGCAAGCATGATTTGATGTCCATGTCCTCTACACATGGCATGTCAATAAGCATTCCATCCAATTCCATCACCTCAAGTCGTCGAAGCGAGGTTTTAGTAGAGAAAACAGCCGATGGAATACTGTCACCATGTATGGTCAGTGTGACAAGGTACTTGAGTTTTTTCAGAGCAGCAACTAGCCCCTTCTCATGACCTTTGGAGAGTTCCCAAATGAACAAGGAACGGAGCTGGATCATTTTTGAAAGGGTATTTCTATCCCAACCATACTTATCATCAGGTTTCACAGTATCAAGGGTCTGTAGGTTCTTCAAGTCACCAACCCGTTTTGGCAAGGTGAGGCGATGGCCAAACACATGCCTTAGGGTTCCAATCTCCCAGAATGGCACCGGTAGCTCCTTAACTTCTGTATCTCGGACATCTAGTGTCTGAAGACTAGAGAGCCTTCCAACTGATGGTGGTATCTCTTTCAAAGAACAGGATGTCACAGCAAGGTACTGCAGGTGCACAACATCACCAATTTCATTTGGCAACTTGTCACCAACTTCAAGGCCTTGCAGGTTAATCACACGTAGGAACTTGGATGTTTGCAGAAGTTGCCGCAGATAAGATTTGGCATCGCCCTCCTTGCACTTGGTTGTGGTTCCATGTGGTGAGCAATGTAGGCAGATTGGAGACTGTTGCACTTTGGCTTCCTGATCTTCATCGGCGACATCATATTCCTTGCTTGTTTCTTCCTTCTCAAAATTAGACAAGATGGATCGAAGCTTCGGCATAGGGTTGGCTAATGCAGCATACTTCTCCATGCGATTTTGCAAGCTGAGGCGGCGAGCAGCTGACAGAGGCGGGATATCATCACTGTTGTGGATCTCCACAAAATTTACCTCTTGTGCCTCAATCTGAAGAAATGCATGGACTTTGCTTTGTATGGTCACAAGCTCCTCCTCGGGAGTATTTTCATCCATAGGCTCTAGGTTGATTAAATGCCTTGCAATCAACTCCTTCAAGTAACGGTAACCAACCTTCTCCATTGTCAACCCTTCCTTTGGCCTCAGGAAGCCCTCTGCCATCCACATGCACACCAAATCTTGTGCTTCAATCAGCATGTTTGTTGGCAATGCAGCAAAGTAGAGGAAGCAAGATTTTATGTCATATGGAAGATCATCAAAGCACAGGGACAGTATGCTGTCAAGCCGCTTTGATTGCTTGGATTTAAGATGCTCAAATACAGCTTTCCACTCGACTGGATACTCCTTTGTTCGTAGAAGGCCTGAAAGAAGAACAATTGCTAGTGGTAGCCCCTGTGTGGTGTCAAAAATGTCTTGCTGGTAATCATTTCGAACGCCATTTTTGACAGCTTCGTTGTACTCAGGATTGCTTTCTTCCCTGCACACTCTCTGCTGGAACAGTTCTGTTGTAGCAATCAAATGAAAATGGTCAAGCTGGATCCTAACATGTTTATAGTTTGTTGGTGGGTCTTCTAGCCTCTCTTTCGACATCCTCACGACTCTGCTTTCTACTTCATAAGGGAGGGCAGCTAGGATGTGTTTCCATTCAGTGGTGCTTACTTCACCATCTATCACCACCAAGTACCTCTTCCCTTTCAGTTTCTTATCAAGCTCCTTGGTGACCTCCCTCTTAGATAATGTGAAGTCTTCTTCTTTGAGATCCCTAAGGATTAGTTTCAGGATATCGGAAGCACTGGAATAAGGTGGGAAAGTAGCCAAAGCCTGCTCAACAAAATGGTTCTTGATTTCCAGCGTTTCATACACATCTCTTACCAAAGATGACTTGCCCACTCCACTTGGCCCTAGCACAGAGATAACCTTTTGACGAGGAGTGCTATCCGGCAGAGAAGAGTCGACAACAGTGTCATATAGCAGAGCAGAAGTGAGATCTTTGCGCTTGTCTTCGCGACTAACAAGAGGAGGCTGCAGCAAATTGTCCCTGTAACCATTATTTATTGAAAGGTTATTGCATAGCAAAAGAAATGGCTTTTCAATGTAGACTTTCAAAAAAACTTTTCAAAGTATGATACTAACAATAAATGTATTATACAGAACAAAGCACTGGTGTGATCTATACCTTACTAAATGTACTGCAGTATGTACTGAACGTGAGTCAAGTAGTCAGGGTATCAGTAGTTGCTACTGATTTTTTTCACTAGTACATGATGGGTGTAGAACATTATTCTACCTTAGGGTATTCACACTCGTGTATATAAATACCAAGAAAAAACAAGATATGAGTAATAGCATATAGATAGAAGCCTTGAAAGGACAAAGCCATTATGTTCTACAAGTACAACTGCCATTATGTTCTACAAGTACAACTGTAGAAGCATCCACACATCATTACTGGAAACAGGAATATCCGATCCGAATGTACTCATTCAAACAGAAATACTTGGATGTGTGCATATCCCTAGTTATGGCATTGACTGAAGCTTATATCTCAGTGACCTAAAAAGGTAGAAAGAGTCAATCTAAAGGGAAAGAAATTATGGATGCATTTGGTGTGTATGCATCTAGCTTCCTAAGAAATAGCATATAGAAGAAAAATAAATAGAACCAAATTAAAGAACCATCCTCAGACATCGACTGTCAACAAGCATGGGTTGGGATTATATAACCAAGAATAAAGTTGAACACCTATATATATTATCGCACCTCTAGGAGTCTAGGATAAGGCACACATGTTATTATCAACAAAACAAAATCCAGAAATGTATTGTTTATACCAACTTACAATTTGGTTGGGGCAACAGAGATGGCCGTGGAAGCTCTCCATGGAACAACTATCTTGTTGGTGTCCTCAATTTGCTTGTATGTTTCCTTGTTCTTAATTATATTCTCAAGTCTTGAGTTGATAGCTTTGATCTTGCTAGAAAGGTTGTGCCGCACACGTAGTTGTGTGCTAAATTCCGCAATGAACCTTATAATGGTGCGTGTCCAGCTTGGGTACCTTCAGGGAAATGGTATATTGACTTTAGGTCAAATTGTATATTAAATAATGTAATCATGAAAGATCGACTACATTTCCAAATCTGAAAAACTTTTATTTGATGGGAATCATAGATGCCTCTAATCATGCAATGTTCTAATTCAATAGAATTAGAGGTGTCTCTGACTCTTCTTATGTATCTATTAGAGCCTTGAACTATTTCCAGATTGCTAATGATTTTGCATTAGACACTGATGGCCATATGCTAATTCCTTTCTATTTGTGCACCGACATGGAAATTCATCTACCGATAGAAAATTTTTCTATTTCTGTTGCTTTTGCCCTATCAGTATTTTCTATCGGTATCCCGATAGGGAAATTGATTTCCCAAATTTTCTGTCAGTATGTGGTATTTTCCTATCGGTTTCACAGGACCGGAAATTTCAGTTTCCAGTAGTGTTTCAAGGATTACACCAAATGAAGTATGTCCATGACAAAACCATAATAGTGATGGACATTTGAATGAAATACCCGATATATAGATACTATGATACTATCCTATATCAACTTAAATTCATTCATCTTATACACTTTAGGCGCGCTACAAGTAGCAACCGACAAATAATGCACAATTTCCTTAAAGTTAACCGCTATAAGGTATTCTTCATGTGTAATATACACTGCAAATAACATTTTTTATTTTATTTATTTATATTGAATCCTAACACTAGCTTCCTACTTCTTCATAGCATAGATATTAATTCCTGTACAAAGTGGCCTAATAAACTCCTTCCACTAGGCACATCTCAGAGCATATCTCAGAGCAAGAGCATGACCACATCTGAAGTCAATTATGAAATTTATTATAGCAAATATCATCGGTTCAAAGGATGAGTTTCGCGAGGGCTAGTGGACTTTGGGACTTGACCTTGAGATAAACACTTGATATTTAGATTTGCTAATTTCGTACATATGAACTATATTGTTGTGATGATATATAAAATTTAACAGATGTAGTGTCTTTAATTTATTGATGCATGTAATGAAATTTCTATTGAAATTGTTGGCTGTGGACCTCTCAAAATTAATTTTTAGCGATTGTTTTTAAAACCGCTACTACGCCATTGATTGTAAAAATAAGGTACTTTTAGGACAGTTCTATTCGGAGACAATTTTGCTAAGTCAACCTTCCTTAAAAAATGAGTTTTAGGAATAATCCAATAGACTAAAAATACTTTTTAGATATTTAAAATCATAAAACAATTATATGCGCGAGAGGCTATGACACTACAGATGTTATCGCAAGGTTCCATTTTGAAAGTATTTAGCACAAGTGTATTGGTTGGGATTCAAACCGGCAACCTATGTCTCGCGTGTTTTCTCACCTACCACTGCACCACACAATTACTTCCGACTAAGTATATGATACTATCCTTTTGAATTAATATGTATGACTTGCATTGAAATTTGGCTTCTAACGATCTTAAATGGAAAATTTTCAACTATAAAATTCTAGATCTCATTTAGAACTACATCTTTGATATAGGGTGTGTCTCCATCTGAGTCATTTAAAAATTCAAAATTTTAAATTCAAAATCTAAGAGCTTTATCTATATATTTATTTATTTATTTATTTGGTCCCCTAAACAAACATCAATGAAAAAAGCTGTTAACTATAAAGTTTTACATCTCGTTGAGCTCTACCATTTTAATATAAATTTTTCCTTCACCCAAATTTATTTGAAAAATTAAATTTCTTTGTTTTACAGCTATTTTCAAGGGCAGTTGACTCGACCGCCTCTCCATACCATTTTTTAGTGGAGTCAACTACCCTTAAAAATCAGCCATTTACAGGGGCTGTTGACATAAGCAGTCACCCCTACAAATCATATTTTCAAGGGCTGTTATCTTAAGCTGACCACTCCTAAAAATGATATATTTCTAGGGTCAGTTTATTGAAAAGACAATGCATTTCCAAGTGGAGTTAGTAAGCTGCAGTGCTCTGGTTCTAATTAGAAATGGTTTGCTAAGTAGAGCGCCCTTGACAAAAATAGGAGGTGCCTTTAAAAATTGCCTCTTTAATTGTGACCGGATCTGTCGATTTTTGTTATTTAATTAACTGACCGGCTATATTGATTTCGTCAAACCAAAGTTTATGAAAACCAATGGACCGAATTGAATTTTCGGTTTAAACTGATCGCCCAGTTCTATATGTTGGAGAATTAATAAGTTGGATAAAAAAATCAGTTTCTCCCTCCAAAAAGGGTTTTGAATTCTTTTTGTTTAGAAAACTTTTTGAAATAGGTGGAGAAACTTGAACTCTTGGCTAAAATTATTCGAACAATATATACTCCCTTCGTCCATAGAAGATACACAATGAATACTATTAACATCTATGTATCCAACTAGGTATACTATGAAAATATATTCCATAATTAATTTAGTGGTACTTATTTTTTATTATAAATGTTAGTACTTTTTATATAACTTTGATTAAACTTTAAATCGTTTCATTCCTTGAAAAATGGAAATTGTATTTTTTAGTGGACGGAGAGAGTACATATGTTTCGTATATATTCAAGATCGGAAGTTCATTGGTTTCCGTGCACTTCCTAAATGTAGGCCGTGGTTTTCAGTACACGTGCTACTACTGAAACAACTATTTATGCGGAAAATAAGGATTTAACAAAATTCCAACACGGAAAAATGGTGAAGCTGGTCTGATCTTCTTCTTCTTCTTCTTCTTCTTTTGAAACAACTGGTCCGATCTTTCTCAGGATGTATATATATATATGTGTGTGCAAAATATACCTGGATAGGTCGACGAGGAGGAAATACTGGTCGACGGCGTCCTCGGCGTCGAAGGCGGCGTCGCGCGTCTGGTGCAGCCACACCCGGCTGGCCTCGTCCGGGACGATGCGGCGCCGCGGGTCGGCGTCACGCAGGAAGGCCTGCATCCACATGAGCTTGTCCCGGAGGCTCCGGATGTCGTCGTTCACCGCCACCAGCGCCCGCGCCTCGCTGACGGCGAGCTCCTGCAGCTTCACCACCAGGGGACCGATGATCGCTTCTGCCATGTTTCCACCTGCAGCTCTCTTCTTTCTTCTCCTCTAGTTTGAATTCGTCCGGTTATCACTGTCGCGCGAGCGCAATAATCGACTCACACCATGCACCCGGCCGATGCAAATTGCCAACCCAAAGGAAGCATGGCATATAACGTGATGCAAAAGAGGAATCGGAATTTCAGAATACGTGCGTTCGGTGATCGGTTGCCCCGCGACGTATATAGGAAGTTAGGAAAAGATTCTGCCATGGCATATATAAAGGTAAAAGCCAGCTTGAGGGCATGGAAATACGATCGATCTGCTGCAAGGCAAGAATATATTCTTTCTGTTGGTGAAGCAAAGCAAACCTGATTGGGAATGCAAAACGGGCTGTCGATCTGCCAATCCATCAAAAGGCTTAAGTTTACAAGACAGGTTATTCGCGAGCTTACAAATAGGTTTAATTTTATGGAAATACTTTGGTGAGCGCGTCCATCGGATGCTTCTTTCTAGGCATGTGGACCGGTCCAACAGGCCTCCTCCTTCACTAATAAAAAAATACAGCGTGACATCTCCCCATCTCGCATCGAGTCGTGGCGTTCCCCACCGCCGTGGGCGCCTCCACCTTGTGGCCCGCCCGCCCGCTCTCTACTCTGCTCTGCTTCACCGTCGACGGTCACCCCACGCTGCTCCTGCTCCTCTGGCCTCGCCTCCTGTTACAGCCGTGGCACCCCGATGCAAATGGCGGAGGAGGCTGCATCAGGATACGATGCATGTTTCAAGCGTACATTTCAAATGTTTCAGATGTTTTAGAGGTATGTTGCAAGTATTTCATACGGATATTGCAAAAGTAGATCGGGATGTTACATATGTTGCAATGGTTGTACACGTATGTTGCAAGCATCTGTTCGTGTTTCGTCTGTTTTTCCAGACATATCTTGCAAGTGTGTTTATCTGGATGTTGCATATGTTTCAACACAAATGTTGCAAGTGTTTTATCTGGATGTTACATATGTTTGCAATGTTTTTCAAGTGTTTTTTAGGTGTTTTAGACACATGTTTTAAGTGTTTCATCTGTCTTTTTTGTATGTTCCAAGTGTTGCTTCTAGATGTTTCAAAAGTTGATTGGGTGTTGCACATGAGATGCACATGGGAAACAGGAGGGGCACGAGCGGGCCCCGCATGGACACGGGTGATGTAGGCCTGGTTGAGCGACATCCAGGCGGCACGGGCCCACATGTGGACACGCGAAAATGGACCGTAGCCGCGGGCGTCTGTCTGGACGTCCGGGTGCTAGTAGTGCCCTTAATTTTTGTGGATGGCGAAAAGTGACGGATTGTTCTCCGCCGTCGGCACACGAAGCAAGCCGAGAGAGACCTCGTGGAGCAGATCCCGAGCTCGCTCCGGGCTTAAGGTGGACACTGGACCGAATGGTCGTGACCGTGGGCGTGCCAGTCAATTTGACCCAGCAATTGATAAGGAGAGAAAATTGATCTGTAATTTAAGGTGGAACATGCCGGTGTTTGTCCAGACAGTTCCAAATATGCGGCTAAGTTGCCGATGGGATAAGGCTATCGACTAGAGAGTCGATATCCGGCATGTTCATGATGTAATATAAGCAAAACAAGCATATCGGCAATTGTCAGTTATTCAAATATATAGATCTTAACTAGCCGATGATCATGAAAACATGCGAAAGATGTAAGGATAGGTGTATAGGCACACATATGAGAAAATACTAGCTTTATCTGAGATGAAAACAGATAAAAGTTTGTAAATAGCCAGTACATCCTCAACAAAACGGGCCATCGGCTAAAATAGCATATTCTAGTGATCTTGTCGTATAGCATACAATCACTCATCCGTTGGATATAAATAAATTGACAAACAACTAGGCTCAATCTATTGTACCATCGATAGGTCGAGTCGTCTGATGCAACATTGACAGTAGGACCCTAGATCAGAGACCAACAGTCGATAGATCTACTTACATCGCAAAGAAATCTTGAAAGCATGTTATACGCGTGAAAGCTCAAGCCATCGGCAATTTAGCCGATGGAGACATATAGGGTGGTTGACGCCATGTTCTTCTTAATAGATAGATCTATTAACCGACAATGTCCAATCGGACATGCTGTCAACAGATCGAGTCGGCTGATGCAGCATTGATAGCGGAGTCATACAGGATACTGGCGATCGATGAATCTATCTCTTAATAGAACACGACTTCAAACACCCGCCATGTACGATCAAGATCGAGATAGATTAGTCATCAAACAGGATCTAACGTCAAGAATTAAATTCAACTGTGATAATAACTAGCAGACGATAGATCAGAATAATAAGACCAATAAATCTCAAACTAGATCGGGCAATTGGTGATATTATATTAAACAGTAAACTATTTAACACAATATCGATAACTTTGATCAACATCAACGTTTACATGAGATCAGTCATCTGTTGCAGCATTGTAAAGGTTGATATGAATCGATAACTAATCTATACCGCGATTTATAAGAGATCAGTCGTTTGTTGCAGCCTTACAAAAAACATTATAGATCGATAACTAACTTATACCGTGACTTGCAAGAGATCAGTCGTCTGTTGCAGCCTTGCAAGTAACAATACAAGTCATGACGGATACTCACAAACAAGCCAGAGGTCAGGTCGTCCGATGCAGCCCTGCTTGCCCAAAGAACCCATTGAAATCTACTCTACTCCTATTCCTAAGGGGTGGCGTGTAACACCCCAGGTGTTTGTCACCAGTTAAGCAATGGGTTTGAACTCAAACATGGCATGTTAAGTGGTGATGAAGGTGTCAAGATCAAATCTACAAGAGTGAGCTCCAACTTAAACTCGGGCAACACACCTTTGCTTGCATATTGGCCCTTTTCGGATATTTACCTAAGTAATGTTGAAGGTGCTTATTTCATGTGTCTCACATCAATTTCCACCCACATGAATGATTGGAAAAGTTTCATGAAGTTTAGAATCAAGAAGTCACCTAAAATGATAAGTTAAAATCTTTCTTGGATTGCTTTATTAAGTGAATGGAATTATAGGTCATCAACCAAACCTTGCTACCTTATCCAAGCGACTCTAATTGAACTCTACAACAAAAGCCATGAGGGTTCGTGTTGAGCAGAGATCAAGAAAATGCCTCAATCGGTCTAAAACTCTAATTTAAGCTTTATCGTGATGCTACTTTGACTTGGTTTGAACTATGGTTTAGAGGATTTGCATGGTAGTGGAACCTAAACAAAAGTTGAAGTTTGAGTGGAGTAGAACAAACTTTGTTTTTGTACCAAGAGCTAGATCAGCTTGTAAGAAAGTCAAACTGAGCCATCAATTTGGAATCCATGTCTGTTTTGGGAGCTCGAAATTTTGCCTAAGTCTGTAAAACTGAAGATCAGTTTTCCAGTTTCTTGTGACCATATTTGATGCCTTGTAGTTTGCTAACCATCTCGAATCGGACCATGGTACTTTAATAAAAGTTTGAGATAGTATGTAGATCTACAACTTTTATTACTAGAGTTTTTGCTAAATCCTCGTGGTTTAGGAGTTACGGAGGTACGAAGTTTGGGTTTCAGTGGTATGTTTGAGGTAGTATTAGATTTTTCCTTCAGTTAGCAGAAGCAGCTGCATGGCCGACCGTACTTAGGCGCTGCAGTCCGCGTGTTGCGCTCGCTCGCCCTCGCTGCTTGCATGGCCGCCAGCTCGCCTCCTTGTTGTGCATAAGTACAGAGACCCTCTCCACTCTCTCCCTCTCCATTCCCCTTCCTTCTCCTGCTGTCTCCAAGCCGGCACCTGTCGCTGCCATCAACGCCGCTGCTGCTGGAGCTCCATCGCCGCCGCTGTTCCCTTGCCTCCAGTCTTCCTTTGCTCAGGCCAGCAACACCTTCGACTTCTCCGGTTTGCGTCGCCGCCTCCACCCCATCAGCTCCCTTCGCCGCCGTTGCCGCTGCCTTGCTATCGCTGCAGGCCGCCACCGCGGCATGCCATCCGCACATGTGGCCAGGAGGGCCACGGGCTGCAGCTGGCCATGCCGTTGGCCAGGCGCAGCCGCGGACAAGCCAGGCCGGCCCCTCTCCGCCGCTGCAGGCTCTCGCTGGCCGAGCCCGGCCGCTCCCTGCTCTGCCATCGTAAGGATGAAGATGAAGGACGTCGCACTCAAATAAGGGAAAAGGGAAGGATCTTGCTGTGAAGTTGTGACTCATGTGAATAGTGCTCAGGAGGACCTCTTCGCTGACGTTTGAGTTCTATTTTCCGCAGGGACCCCGATGCAAGATTTACATTGCTTTTCTTTGATTTTTGTAGATTTGAATGATGAACTTTGAAAATTCATAGTAATTAGTATAAAAATTGTCAAATAGTAAATGAGGACTTTTTGGAATCCTTGTGAAATTGTCTATGCATTAGATCTATAATATGTCATGTTTTAGTTTAAATATTTTGCTATAAAAATAGATTTGTGCAGTAAGGTTGTAATGCTAGTTGAATTTGTTATTTTCCATAACTGCAGATCTAGGACTCCAAATGAAGTGAAATTTTTGTGGCATGCTACTAATGTGATAGTTGATGTGTGGTAAAAATTTCATGAGTATTGGATGAAGTATGAGTGAGTTAGTGGTTTATCTCGCTCTCACATGATTTCTTGCAATAGCTAATTGTATTTTTCGTAGAGGCAGCTATACTTATGCAAACAGTATGAAATTTGTACAGTAGACTATTGAGAGGATATGTGAGCTACTGTAATTTTTGTAGAATTTATTGTGCATTTTTGCTATATGTTCATAAATACACCTTGATGTCTAAATAAATTAAGAAATGCTTTAAGAAAATTTATTTAGAGGTGAGCACCATGCTTTCTGGTGTTCTTTAGTCATGTGTGAAATGTTGGTAAGGTTGGTTTTGCTCAATTATGTGTTTGCAACATAAGTTAATAATTATTTTCTTGCCGATGTGGTTTATGGACAGATCTAGGAACTTAGCAAAGTTCTTTATGATAATGTGCTTTGTTGTGAAACTTG